AGAATGGGCCCAGTCGGGTCTAGGTTGGAGGCCAATTAGATGAGGTCGGTCATTGTAGTCTTGGTAGAATGGGCCCAGTCGGGCAGGACGCGCGACGAAATCAGAAGCTCGCTTCGTTGTTTGGGGTCGATGTGAGGATGTGCTGCAGCTACGCCGAAACGCGTCCCGCGCAACACGATGCTTACCAGCAGCTGAAGCATCATTTGGATAAGGCCATGCTGGGCTGGCGGACTTTGAAGTGCCTGTGGGCGGACTGGGGAAATACAGGTCAGGGATGTACCAAAGTTCGTTGAAAGAAGAACTGTCGAATGACCTTTTCATACAGCCCAGCGTATACAGTGCTTGCACGATTTCAATGTCAACAGTGGAGCTGCGAACCATGAACCTGCGAACCTCATTGAGAAGGACGATCTTCCGCAGACCACCCGTTGGCATATTCCGAATGGCAGAGCTATTCTATATCAATGCTAAAGAAATAACACGGGCTTTGTCTTCAGGTTGCCGCACAAACATCTGACAAGACACTGTGAGAGAATGTGAGAGAGAGGTGTGTCCGAAAGCTCTGCGTGCCGGTGCCCAACAACAAAGACATACAAATACAAAGGATGGTCCTGGTATGCTTTGCTATGATCATCTGGCTGTGGGTCCAAACCCGAAGCCCCAACACCCCTGGTAGGTTGACCTCTCTAGTCGTCTGCTCTTGTTCATTTTTCGGTGGTCCACCCTGGACCTCCAGGTTTCAACCTCCAACCCCCGGGAAATGGCACCAGACACCGTGTCTCGCTCTCCTCGGTCACGGTTTGGGGCTCCAGCCTCATCCGGGAACCGCCCCAGCTCGGCGCCATGGCTCGGCGTGGCTGGGCCGCGCGGAGTGCGTGGCGGGTGGGGAGGTTAGCAGATGCTTATCAGATGCTCCATAAACCGTTCCATCGTGAGTCCAACAACCTCACCTTCATTTAGGTTCAGAGGTCAGGGGCTTGTGGACTGGTCTTTGTCTGGGGATTCACCTTCATGTCGGTTCATCCCTCTCAGCCCCAGATCCAAGAAGGGGCCCAGATGTGACCAGGAATAATCGTAAGGAAAATGAAGATATTATAGGGGAAATCGATAGGTGAATGTTGGTTGGTGGAAGAGATCCTGGAGACATCGATTTCCCTTTGTGGCCGTTCATGGGTTTGTATTTCTTACAATGAAGTTCATACGATGGTCAACCGCCAGGCCAAGAGCAGGGGGGCCCCAGATCCAAGAAGGGGCCCAAGGAATCCCAGGCGAGCCACTGTGCCCCATCGGTTAACCCTTGATTTGTGGCTCGCCAAGGATAACAGGTTCTTGAATCCTAAGAGCTCCTACAAAAGGATTCTGATGGCACCTTCATGTCGGTTCATCCCTCTCAGCCCCATATGTTCCAAAAAAGTGCCGGGAGGGATCCCTGCATACTGAGACATCTTAGACCCATAAATATCGATATATAGATGATATATGTGCACAGATGCAGCACGATGTTTCGCATGGTTGAAGCCACTCCAAGGAGGAACCGGAGGGTTTTTCTCGTGGACACCAGCTGGCGGACACATCCAGCGCAACTCACGGTGCCTACCACGCCTAGGCTACGACTCACGGACCACCACCTTCTCTCCAGAAGGGCGCTTGCATCTTGGCTGCAGAGTCGCGGTGCACGTTCCAAGAGCGAAGAAATGGGCCCAGGAGGGCCCAACTCACCAAGTCCTTCCAGGAGGGCCCAGGAGGTTCCAGGTTCCGTTCACCCCCTGCGTCCTTTGAAAAGAAAGACGCACCTCCCGCTCCTGGGCCCCCTGATGAATCACAGATGAGCTGCCCAGACAAGGCAGCCTTTGCGCTCAATGAGTTACCTGTGTTAGGTGTTGTTGCTGTTGAAATGGATTTTGAGAAGTGAGCTTTTGACATAGCAAGCTCACAATTCTGCATGTTTGTACTGGCCCTTCGGCTCTACGAGGAGCCAGACCCGTTTTCATGTTTTTGTTTTAATCTGCTGAGATGGCTGGGCTTGTGAATGCTTGTGGCTTAGCTGGCCACATTCTGATTGCCAAAAACTCCAAGAACTCCAAGTCGGATGAGTGCACCTCGATGTTCAAAGCCTTGGCGCTTGTCCCTCCTTGACGTTTGTTTTCGTTTATCCCTCCTATATTGCCAGGAGTTGAAGCCCCTGCGCTCTGAAAGGTGAAGAGCCGTCTCCGAACTTCGAAAGTTGGATGGGTCATGTTGGGTCCGCAGAGTGCGAACGGAGCTGCTTCGCTTCAAAGTGGAAGTGCCGTTCGCACAAGTTCGCTATGCTTCGCTGCTTCGCCGTGATCGGTGAAAAGGAAGGTCTATCATTTGTACATACATGCGGTCAGCGACCTGGAGAGCCGGGGAAGGTCCAGTTGATTTCAAGTCCGTGAATGCAATGAGTTGCCAGTTGGCCCGTGGAAGCGACCTGAGACACCCACCTGGTCTTAATTAAACCTTCGGAATGCAATGCAGCTACCGTTAAGGTATCAGGTGGAATATGCCATGGAAGCCATCAACTTGGCTGGCTCTACTGTGGGCGTCTTGGCGGAGGATGGAGTGATCTTAGCCGGAGAGAAGAAGACCACCTCCAAGTTGCTGCTCGTCCTGGGAAAAGAAAAGGGTGGCCATGGGCGTTTTCCATGAGGGTGATTCAACTAACCAGGTATTCACTGCATATTCAGGCTGCGGAGTCCGTTTCAAAGGTCCGGCTTGCCGAGTGTATAACTAGCATCTCCGCACCAAACCGGCCAACCCGAGGTACCCTTTGGTTCTTGACACAGTTCACCCATAGAAGTTGTGCAGAACATATCAGAACACTGCATAACCACTTTGGTCGGCCAGGTCTAACCCGTTGGGGAGGGTGCCACCACATAAACACAGGTATGCAGCTTTCCCTTCATGGTTGATGCTGGTAGGCAGTTCAATCCACTCATCAGCCATGCGGCCCTCCGCAGCTTCGGCGCCGTACCACCGGTCGCCTCGCCAGCACGCCCGCGGTCGCCGCTGTGTGACACCCCCGACCCTGACGCACCCCGACCGTGACGCACCCGCGCCGGATGAGCGACGACAGCTCGATCAGGCTCGATCAGGCGAAGCAGCATGAGAAGCTCTTCCAGCTCGACGACACCATGTTCTGCGCGGTCGCAGGGATCACCTCCGAAACCCGGTCGGATCAGAGGGCGAGGGCCGGGCCAAGTTGGGGTGCCCCGTGGCGTTTCAATGTACGATCTTGCATTTCAGGGTTTGGCTCCCAAGATCCAAGCCAAGTCTCCTTGAGCTGGGCTGTTTCTCCATGTTTCTCCCCCTTCCTTGTTTTTTTCCTCTCTCTCTCTCTCTCTTTCTCCTCTCTTTTTCTATCTTCTCCGTCTATCGGCAGAGAAAGCGTATGATGTAGGGACACGTTGGGATTCTTTGCGTTCGCTGCAATTTGCGACCGTGCAGTGGATGCAGCGTATGATTGCGACCGTGAAGTGAAAACGCGCACAGGCATTTGCGTGAGCCTCACAATGATGGAGCCCCGCCAAGTGATTTTTTAATGCTCTAGCCAGGTGCATCGGGGGGGCTCAGTGGGCAAAGGCCTAGACGGACACCTGGCCTTCCTTCGGGCAACATTCCGTCCGACTGTCCAGCCAAGGACGCCAACATCCTCATCAATAGACTGAGGCTGACTGCGCAACAGCATGCCTATAGCTTTTCCGAATGCATGCCCGTGGAGCAGCTGGTCACCTCCATTTGCGACTTGGGTGGTTCGGTGCGTGGGGCCCTGGGAGGCACGGGAACCAACTCCACCTGGGCGGAATAGGACCGGTCGCACGAGAGCGCCTCCCTCGCACGTGAGCGCCGTGGCGGGAGGGGGTTTCTGATGAGTCGTTGTTGGAGAATTCGTCCCCAGACGGTCCCAGCCATACCTCCCAACTGCCCAAGCTAAGCAGCTGATTAGCTGTGGCCTTGTGTCGATGAGAAGGCTTGAGACTGAGGTGACTACAAGCAGGGCTACACACAGTTTGGTGGTCTCCGGCCCTTTGGGGTGTCCTTCCTGGTGGCTGGCTACGACACCCATCATGGCTTTCAGTTGTACCACACAGATCCCTCTGGGAACTTCAGTGGTTGGAAGTCCTATGCCATTGGTGTCAACAACAACACCGTCCCTGGACAGACAGAAACGGGTGGGCAGCTGGGTGAGACTCAAGCCGTTGACACAGGATTAGATGTTGAGACATGTTGGGACAACATGACCTCCAACGATCTTCAAACCAAACATGGGGGTAGAGGACGCTACGAACGGAGCAAAGGGCATCGCTACGAACGGAGGAAGAAGCTACTAGTAGCTCCTGCCATGGCTACTAGGGGCTCCTGGCCTTACTACTAGGAACTAGGAACAAGAAGCTACTAGGAGCTTTTGTCCTTGCCGCTTGAACTCGTTGGTTGTGCCAAGTGTTGGGCCAAGCGGCTTGGTGCTGGGCTGGTGTGCATGTCGCTGGTGCACCCCGCAGCACCTTGCTTCCGCCAAAGGCCATGCAGATCATGCGACAAGACTGGAAGCCCGGCATGAAGCTTCAAGAAGCCTTGGAGCCTCGACATGGGAAGTTGAGCTTCTGGCTCAGGGCTTGTTGTTGGGTAGTTCTCGACCAGACCAGACCAGACCCACGTATTGCCAGTCGGAGGACTCCCGAGTGTTTTTGGATGTTTTGGCATCCGAGTGTTTTTGGCTGGATTTCTTCCATCAACATGGGCCTTGGACAACCAGAGTCCTGTTATAATTATTATGAGTCAACGACGGGGCATTTGCGTTGAAGATATCATTGTATGTATCATTGTTCAGCACATTTCAGCACCATAGTGGGCAACGTCCAACGTGTTGACTGGCACTGTTGAGTGTACTCAACACCCAGATGGGTTTCTCCGTACACTCTGACTCACTAACATGGAAGTGACCAATGGTCCCGTAAGGAAGACTACTTTCCTTTGCGAACTGGGGGTTTCCCACTTCCATGTGAGCGAGTTGGAGTGTATTTCAACTCGTTGGACCGTGGGTGTTGGGACCACTTCGCCGATTGGCCTCGCCCCGCTGAGGAGCTGACGGCCAAGGTCTTGGTGAAGACCATGGACACGGCCTCTCCCACGGCGGAACGCCTGGAATTCGGGATCGTCTACAAGACGCCAGAGGGGCAGGTGAGTCGTTTCTTTGTTTTCTAATTTTTTTGGATGCCAACCCGAGAAGGTCAGAACGAGATGGTGAGGGGGATGGATTGGGAATGAATTGGGGTTCAAGTTCATGCCTCTTTGTTTTTTTTTCCCTTTCTTTCAGTGGCTGTGACTATGTGACGGTTTGGAAGGCTTTATGTAGGAAGGGCTCTTTGGTTTTGCCGGATGCTGCCAGAAGTCAGCAATGGAGTCGGGGAGCAGGCCCCACCAAGGGGGACACTGGCATGCGCAGAAGCCGGACAGGGATCAGGTTTCAACCGACAACCGCCAACCGGGTGAACCGATCAACCGGCGGTTGGCCGGTTGGCCGGTTCAGCCGGGTAACCGAGA